ATCAACATGAACAGAATTGGAAACAAGAGGTTCTTATTATGTCCTATGTCCAGTTATTTTTTTTTCTGTCTGTTTTAGTCTTCTGTACCCTTTGTCTTGTATGTAAGTTTATTCAATCTGTGGAAAGGTAATCACAGAAACAGCAGGACAAAGGATGAACTAATACAAAAGGGATACTCACTGACACTATGTTGGAAATGAACTATACATCTTGGGGGAGAATGGAGTAAAGAGGGATAAGTTGGAGAAAATGAGGGAGGGGGTAACAGTGTTTAAAAAGAAATGTACTCCTTACCTTACTTATGTAACTGTAACCCCCCTGTTCATCATGTATAGGAAAAAGAATTTTCTCATTATCATGATATTGAGCAAAATAAAACAAGTTCAAAGAGCTAAATATCAAGTCTTCTCTCATATTCAGAATCCAGACTTTAAAAAATTAATAATAATAATGATAGACACTACCATAAAATGTTCTCAGGAAGAATCAGCAGGAGTTGGGAAAGGGAAAAAGATTACTGATGATGATCAAAAATATTACATATACATACACATTAAGTACTGTGTGAAGGAAAGAGGAAACACAGAAGTTAAGGAAGTATAATAGACAGGGTGAATATGATTCAAAGTATACTGTACGCATCTATGGAAATATCAGGAGAACCTTTTGTAAAACAATTTTTTTCATTATAAAAGAATTACAACCGTAGGCATTGGTGGCTCACACCTGTAATGCTAGCTGTTCAGGATAAGAGACTGAGATCTGAGGATCGTGATTCAAAGCCAGCCTGGACAGGAAAGTCCAGGAGATTCTTATCTCCAATAAACTACCCAAAAACCGGAAGTGGTGCTGTGGCTCAAGTGATAGAGAGCTCACCTTGAGCTGAAGAGCTGAGGGATAGGACCCAGGCCCAGATTTCAAGTCCCACGACTGACCAAAAAAAGAAGAAGAAGAATTAAAAGGAAAAAGTGGAGGTATGGCTCATTAGGTAGAGCAAAAATGCCAAGTGAGAGCAAGAAGCCCCAAGCTCAAGCCCCAGCACCAGCACACAATTTTAATAAATAAAAATTCAAAAGAATCCTTATCTCCTCTTATGCCTCTTCTGCTTCCCATATCTATGTCCTCTTTAATATTCTTCTCCATATATTTAGAACTAAATTGTCATACTTTTAGTATCAACCATCAAAATTAACCTACAAAACTCAAGAAAAAGGAAGTATTTATGTAGCTATCGTTTTATTGTATTCATCCCTCCTTCCCCGGGCTCCAAGAATCCTTTTTTCCCATAATTTCCTTTTCCTTTAGAACATTTCTTTAGCCTCCATTTTAGGGTAAGGCAACACACACCAAATTCTCTAACTTTTTCTTCATCTAAGACTGTCTTCCTTTCCCCTTCATTTGCTAGTAATAAGACTTCTGAATAGATAATTCTTCTGAAACTTGAAAAAAATGTGCCAATTACTTGTGACTTACATGGTTTCTGGTGAGAAACCTATTTTTCACTCCGTTTTTCTCTCTCACTGCTCTAAGTATTTCTTTCTTGGATATTTTTGTTTTGAGAAATATTACTGATAGATATTTGGGCATGGAATTCTTTGGTTGAAGATTCTCTCAGCTTCTTAAATCTGTATCTTACCAAATTAGGGAAATTTCAGCCAATGCTAATATTTCTTTACGATTTTTGTTTTGTTTTGTTTTTTGGTGCTGCCTTCTTTTTCCTCTCCTTCCAGGATTGTGACGAAAAGGAGGTCCCATCTTTGTTATCATTTCACAGATGTCACTTTTTTCCATCATCATGTTTCTCCAGCTCTGTCTTCATTCATTGATTCTGTCCTCTAGCCCCTTCTCCATTCAGTGACTGAATTTACCCAATGAATTCATTGTTACCCCAATTCTTATTTCAGCTTCAGTATTTTCCTTTGTTGAGACTTTCTGCGTCTTTACTAAGATGTTCGGCTTTTTCTTTTCATTTGTTCCAAGTATGTTCATAATTACCAAAACATTTTCAAGGCTGCTTTACAATCTTTGCCAGAGTACTCTAATATCTCTGTTATCTTAATGTTGGCGTCCATTGTTTATCTTTCAAACTGAGGTACTGTTGATTCCTGGTATAAGTGATTTTCTACTGAAATTGGGCATTATAAATGTCTAGAACTTATTTAAACTCTGTTTAAGCTGGTTTTCTCTGACACCACGATAAACAGGGTCCTTGTTTAGGAGGGCAGACACTGCCTCATTACTTCCGGGTAAAAATTCAGGTTCCCTGTTCAGCCTCCATGGATGCGCAGATGTGGCCTTTTTGTTACTGCTGGGTGAGGGAGAAGTTCTGGCTTCTTGCTAGGTTTCTGCTGACTCCATCTTGGTTGGAAAGAATGCAGTATCTCACTGCTGTTCCCCTTAACAGTCTCCAGTGTTCCCACAGGGAGTAATGAATGAATGATCTCTTTACTGCTGGACAAGTTTGGAAATCTAAGCTCTCACTGTTACCACCCCTTCTTAAAATGGTAACCAAAATACCACCAACAACAACAAAAAAGATACAAAAGAGAAACAGAGAAATAAATATGGTGTGTGTGTTGGGGGGAGAATTCGCTGTTCCAAATATCATCATCTATTTGATATTCCACCTTCGCCTATTCCTAATCCCATTTCACCCCTTCAAAATGTCTTCTTTCTAATGCATCGTGCTCTGAAATAGAATGTTCCTCAACTATCTAGGGCTTCCTTAGCTGGTTTCTCTTACCAGTCTCTTTTCATGACTATGCCATTAGATATGGGCACTGAAGATTTTCTTCTGTTTACTAGGACCTTCATGGGCACATGCCCCCTAATTCTTCTTTTGGGTAGCTTGGGGGGAAGAAACCTTAACTAGTAATTTGCAATGGCCTCCACAGTCACACTGATCTTATTCAGTAAGTGAAAGTATGGACCTTAATTCAGGGTAAGACAACACTGGAGACTCTAGCTCATATGCATTCTGTTTCCCTTTACGATCACATTCCTAAAGTCACTGCCCAAAGGGTTCTGGGGCAGAAATACTTTTAAAGATACACATTTGTGCAGCAGTAGTCTACGTACTAGCCAGATATTAGGACCTGCAGGGAAAAACAGTAATAATCTAGAATCTTCTTCCCTTTGTCCTTTTCAAAAAAAAAAAAAAGAGGACTTTCACTAAGCCCCAGTATAGGGCTCAAGTTCCATCATTACTATTTTTGCTTTGAATGTCCCCACCAGAGCAAACCTTATATCACAAACAATAAATAAGAAAAACTTTCTTCTTATTTATCTATTTATTTGTTTATTTTTGGTGCCAGTACAGGGGCTTGAACTTCTGGCCTGGGTGCTATCCCTTAGTTTTTTTACTCAAGGCTAGTGCTCTATCACTTGAGCCACAGCCCCACTTCTGGCTTTTGGGGGGATTAATTGGAGATAAGAGTCTCATAGATTTGCCTGGGATCTCCTGAGTAACTAGGATAACAGGCGTGGATAACATCCCTGAGCCACAGACACAGACAGAATAAACTTAAATGTAACCTTATCTCACTTTGTTTCCTATGAAAAACATATCATAGTAAACAAATAAGCATGATTCCAACCTAGTCTCTGAATGAGCCTGCCTGGGATGGAATCCCAGCTCTGCCATGAATTCATTGTGGGACACATTGTTAGTTCTTTTCCTCACTAAAGCAGTGAACGGGACTTTTGCTATCTACTTGATGTAGCTGTTGGGACACAATTCACATAGAGTATCTCCCTATGTGCTTGGCACACAAAAAGCACATTCATGTGTATTTGTAAATGACACTGGTTAAGTGCCCAGAAAATACTTTTTTCTTTTTTTTTTAATCTTTTGTGGTACTAGGATTCGAATTCAGAGTCTCAAGTTCACTTGACTTTCTTGATGTGCTGGGGTTTTGCTAGTTAATTGGAGATGAAGTTTCCCAACATTTCTGCTCAGACTGGCTTTGAATCATGGTCCTCCAGGTCTCAGGCTCCCTAGTCACTAGGAATTACTATAATTATAGATATGAACCACTAGAGTCCAGCCAAATGTTTTTTGTTTGTTTGTTTGTTTTGGGGTCCGGTCGTGAGGCTTGAACTCTGGGCCTGGGCGCTGTCCCTCAGCTCTTCAGCTCAAGGCTAGTGCTCTACCACTTGAGCCATAGCACCACTTCCAGCTTTTTTCTTTTTGCTTATGTGGTGCTGAGGAATCGAACCCAGGGCCTCATGCATGCAAGGCAAGTGCTCTACCACTGAACCACCTTCCCAGCCAGCCAAATGTTTTAAGGGAACCGTTTTCACTAGAAATATTGTGTTATATAGTTCTTATAAATTAATCTTAAGAGAGAAAATTGATAGTAGAGGTGACATTGACCAAGTTACATTGCACTAATAAACTGAAGCGCTGAACTGAAACTCCTTTGTACGATTACTTAAAGAAAAACATAATTTAATATTTTTAAATTTAAATTTGAAAAAAAGAAAATTAAAACCCAGCTTTTCTGAATACAATTTAAAGAAAAGATTCTTTAAACAGTAATTAACAGTTCAATCATGATCTTCTTAAGATATAAATTCATATCACTGTAATTCACCACTTGTAAAGCTAACCTAACCAAAAATGATTGGGGTTTTTGTTTTTCATTCAAAATAGTGCCTATTCTGTTAATTCACCATTAATTGGTCTTTGAGAAAGAAAACCAGTAGTGCTATTCTTATGAGTGCAATCTTCCTCTACTGGTTATTTGAAACACTTTTCAGGATATAACCTCTCGATTTCTTTCACTTTGCAAAGAAGAGACACGCTCTCCCTAAGGAAAATTCCAACTCAAACTTCCAGTAAGTTACAGAGTGTTGTGTATGACACTTTGTAGGCACAATAGAATGTGTATACAGAAACTGAACCGTCTACGTGTGCGTATAATGTGACCTTCTGTAAGGTAACCTTTGCATGCCTTTGACCCAGGGCGGTCCCCCACGGCGGCTCTGGTCCACTTACTTCCATTTTGATGTCGTAGTTCTGGCCCAGGACGCTCTGAATGAGCTCTTTGATGGTCTGGTCGAAGGCCAACTGGCTCTCGGACTGCAGCGAGCTGATGATCTCCTCGATGGACGTGGGGATGACTCGATGTGGCTGCCAGGACGGGTGCGAGGACAAGCGCAGGGACGAGCGCAGGGACGAGCGCTGGGACTGGCGCGTCGACGAGCGCCGCGATGTTCGCGAGGACGGGGACCAGGGCAAGGGCGAGCGCAAGGACGAGCGCACGGACGAGCTCCGGGACGTGCGCCGAGCCTCCTGCGCCTCGACCAGGGCGCCACTGTCCAGGCGCCCCGTCCTGGAGACGGAACCTAGCGAGCTGCTGTCCGAGCGCTGGCGCGTGAAGCGAGTGAGAATCCTCACGGTTCGCCGCTGCTTGGAGGAGTCCTCCTCCTCCCCGAGGCTGCTGATGTAGGCCCCCTGGTCCATGGACCGCCGCTCCTCCGAGAGCTGGTCTTCGTCCTCGCCCGATTCTTGAGTGGAGGGTCGCCTGGACTCCGCCCAGAGTGTCCCTGGCTTTCCCGGGGGCGGCAGTAGGATCGCGGGTTTGGTCGTGCCCACCTGCGGGGCGATGATCGGTGGCCTCTTCAGTGGTTTGTGCCGCAGGAAGGCGGAGCTCCGCATATAAAATTGGTGGGGCTGAAACTGCTGGGCCTTCTTGGGGGGGAGTGCCTCGCCCAGGCCCGGGGGCCGAGGCAGGACTCGGGATGTCTCCAGCCAGAGGCCCCCAAGGCCTTTACCTGAAAGGGACTTTTTGGATGGTCCAGGTCCTCGCAAACAAACTCGTCGTCGCTTCTCCGGGCTTTGGGCAGGGGCGGGGACCGGAGCAGAGCTGTCCTCACCTAAGGCTGGCCTGGCCAACAGCTTCTGCCTCAATATTTGAAAATCCTTCTTGGTCTTCTGTTGAATCTTATCGAGCTCTTTAAATAGGTATGATTCTTCTCTGGCTTTCAGTCCGAAGTGCTTCGGGATCAAGGACATCTTGACAAATTTGGCCTGCAAAATAACCCCTAAAAGTTAGATATATGTGTGTGTGTGTGTGTGTGTGTGTATGTATGTATGTGTGTACACATATGTACATATGTGTGTAGTATGTATGTATATATGTATCGAGGGGGAGGCAACACAAAACTTTTGTTAATAAAATTCTAGCTCTGCAAAGCTTGTCCTAGTAGAACCTTGTTGTGCTTAAATAATTTTAGATCCATTTACTAGACTTACTACATGAACCACAACAACGCCTTAAAGCAGTCATTTTTCCCAGTGGGAATTTCCTAAACTCCTGTTGGGTTTATTTTACTATTTCCTTAGACTATAACTCTATAGCCACTCCCACACAAGGAAAAAAATCCACCAGGCACAGGCACAGAAAACCCAAGTTAGCCCTGTTCACAGAGCATGGTTTTCTACTGTTCAGAGTTTTTCAAAAGGGCTAAATTGGGGGGGAGGGGCAGGAGAGCGACTCAGAAGCCTGTAATCCTAGTTACTCAAGAGTCTGAGATATGAGAATCGCTGTTTGAAGCCAGCTGTGGCCAAAAAGAAAAAAAGTCCACAAGACTCTTACCTCCAATTAAGCACCAAAAGAGCTGGAAGTGGCTCAAGTGGTAGAGCATTAGCCTTGAACACAAAAGCTTAGGAACAAGGCCCAGACCCTGAGTTCAAGCCCCAAGACTGACAAAAATAAAAATGAATCCACAGATTACTGGTGTAAATTCAGAGGTATTCACATAGGAAGGGAGATTTGCAGTTTCTCTGGAGGATGGAAAGAAAGGCTGTGGCAAGTCCCTGCTGGTGACTCCACAGTGGTTGTCCTTCCTTCCCCCGACTTTTCCCACTGCCCTCAAAGTGTCTCCTAAACTACTGCAGAAGGCAAAGCCAGAGGGAAGAAGTCAGCCTGAAGGTGGGCTGTAGCCAGGTTACAAGGCCGGGAATGCCAAGTGTTTGTTCTTTTCCTAAAGTGAGCTACTGAAAATCCCTGAACACTTTTAACACAAAAGTGATTTGATAGGACTCAGTGTCTGGAAGCTATTAATATTTAATAGGAAAAAAGGAATGGAAGCAGAAATGCCAATAAAAGGCTCTGTAACTTGTATCTGGCCTTGGTACTGGAACAGAGTGAGAATAAATACATAAAAGGTAAAAATGGACAGGTTCACCAGACGAATTGTTTAGAATGAATAGGGATAATTAGAGCTCTTTCATAAGATTGAGACTGGCTGAGCATGTAGCTCAGAGGCAGAGCAATTGCCTAGCATATGCAATATTCTCTGGGTTTGATTTTCAGAGTTGACAAAAATGAAATAAGTAGCACCAGTGGCTCACACCTATAATCCTAGTTACTCAGGAGGCTGAGATCCTAGGATCATGGTTCAAAGCCAACCAGGCTGAAAAGTCCCTGTGAGACTCTTATCTCCAATTAACCACCAGAAAGAGCTCAGGGATAGTGCCCAGGTCCTGAGTTCAAACCCCACAACTGACAAAAAAAAAATAGATATTAAATAAATGAAGGCTTTGAGCTACCCTGATGGTATGTTTGTTATAACCAAATGCATAGTAAAATTTGTCACTCACTGACCTGTAAACTTCAAAATGGTTACAGAGGTAAATTTTGTTTCTCATGTAACATAATTTTTAAAACATATGAATTTCTGTTATTTAGTACAGACAGCTATCTACAATCTACAATTTTAGGATTTTGAGATCTTAACAACTCAAGATCATAACCTAAAGCCAGGAAAAACTATACCTAGAGAAGGAACCAATGACAGACTTGTGGTTCACTTAATAACAAATACCCAGCCCAATTTGAAAAATACCTAAAATAGTCCTAGCAGAGGATCACAGTAGCTCAATTGCTATGTACATATGAACATATAAAATTATGTTAATCAAAATAAACTCCAAGATATGGAAACAAGAGGGTTATTTTTCCTTGTTGTTTTAATGTTCTGTGTGAAGTTATTTCTTTTTTCTTTCATATTTTTTGTTTGATGTTTGGGGGGTTTTGGGGGGTTTTTTTTTTTTGGTTTTTTTTGGTCGGTCATGGCTAGCTCAAGGCTAGCACTCTAACACTTGAGCCACAGTGCCACTTCCGGCTTTTTTCTGCTTATGTGGTGCTGAGGAATTGAACCCAGGGCTTCATGCATGCAAGGCAAGCGCTCTACCACTGAGCCACCTTCCCAGCCCCCTCTTTCATATTTTTTTCCTTTGGTTTATTCCCTGTTGTCACTGTCTTTGATTTTAGTACCCTGTGTCTTGTATATATGTTTATCTGCTTTGAAGAAGGGAAGATGAATAACAAATGGTGAGACAAAGGATAAAGGGTAAACCAATGCAACAATGATATTCACGAGACACTATGTTGAAAATGAACTTTACAACTTGGGCAGGTTGGGGGAGTCAGAGGGGAAGGAAAGTGAGAGAAAAACAAGGGAGAGGGGTAACAATGTTCAACAAGGAATGTACTCACTACTTTACTTATGTTACTGTAACCCCCCTTTACAATAAAATTAAACTTTTAAAAAAGAAAGAAAAATACCTACAGCAAAACGGGCTACCGTTGTACCTTACGTGTTATAGCACATACCTAGCAACACAAGGTTCTTTGCTTGCCAATAAATAAATAAATATCATATAAAAAACAATAGTTTCCTTTTCTCTAAATATCTAAATATCTCAATTATAACTACCATAAATTTTCTTTTTTTGTTGTTTGGGTTTTTTTTTTTATTTTTTGCCAATACCAGGGCTTGAACTCCAGACCTCATGGCTATCACTTAGCTTTCTTAGTAAGTGCTAGAGTGCTATCACTTGAGTTCCAGCTCCACTTTGGGCTTTTTGATGGTTAATTGGAGATAAGTGTCTTGAGGACTTTTTTTTGTTTTGTTTTGTGGGGCCTGAACTCAGCCTGGGCGCTGTTCCTCAGCTCTTCAGCTCAAGGCTAGCGCTCTACCACTTGAGCCACAGAGCCACTTCTTGTTTTCTGGTGGTTTATTGGAGATAAGAGTTTCACAGACTTTTCTGCCCAGGCTGGCTTTGAATTGTGGTCCTCAGATCTCAGCCTCCTGAGTAGCTAGGATTATAGGCATGAGCCACCAGCACTCCAGATTCTCTGGACTTTTTTGCCTCACATGGCTTCAAATCGTGATTCTCAGTCTCCTGAATAGCTAAGATTCCAAGCATGAGTGCATGAGTCAACAGTGCCCAGCTTTCATTTATAAAGAGAGCTCAAGAAACTATATCTTCAAAGAATCAACAATCCAACTAAAAAATGGGCAAATGAGCGAAATAGAGTCTTCTCCAAAGATGTAAAAATGGTCAATAGATTCATGAAGAAGTGTTCAACATCTCTGGTCATGAAGGAAGTGCAAGTCAAAACAACACTGAGATTCCTGCCCACCTCAGAATCCCTATCATCAAGAACACAAACAGTAACAGTTATCAGTGAGGGAAAAGGAACACTAATACCCTGTTGGTAGGAGAGGAAACTGGTTCAACAACTATGAAAAGTTTTGTTGTTTTCTTTTTCTAAAAAACTTGATATAGGACTACACTATGATCCAACAATACCATTCTTTGGCATTTACCCAAAAGATTTATACAAATCAGGCTACAGTAAAGCCATTTGCACAACCATGTTCTTTGCTCTACTTTTCACCATAGCCAAGGTATGGAAACAGCCCAAAGGCCTCTCAGTTGCATGAATGGATGAAGGCAAAGTGGTATATATTCAAAATGGAATTTTACTCATCCATTAGAAATATTATCTCATTTGCAAAGAAATGAATGGATCTGGAAAAAATTAGGTTAAGTGAAGTAAGTCAGGCCCAGAGCAACAATGGATGCATGTTCTCTTTCATATGTGGAAGCTATAACTAATTTATAAATGTACAAGTGAACATATATGGGGTTGTATGATAGTGCACATAAATGTGCTATTTGAAATATGGTATTTGCAAGGGAGAATTTCAAATGGTGTATCTCCTTAGAAAAACTCACTCACAGCCCAACAAAATAAGTACCAGAGAATTGGTAGTTGAAAGGTGCAGAGGAGGGACCAATAAGAAAGGGAGAAAGGAATGAAGAGAGGAAGGAGTCATAATATTATGTAGTCATAATATTCAAGGCATATCCTATGAACCTAAGAAACTTGAGAGAGGGTTGGGAGGAATAGGAGAGAATAATAAAAGAAGCTCTATTGATCAAGATGTATTTGTACTTATAAACTGATTGGTTGACTAGTAACTCCTTTGTCCAGCTACTTAAAGATAATAATTTTTTTTTTGGTCAGTCATGGGGCCTGAACTCAGGGCCTGGGCACTGTCCCTGAACTCTTCCACTCAAGGCTAGTGCTCGGGATGGGAATGTGGCTTAGTGGTAGAGTGCTTGCCTAGCATGCATGAAGCCCTGGGTTTGATTCCTCAGTACCACAGAAACAGAAAAGGTCAGCACTGTGGCTTGGGGACAGTGCCCAGGCCCTGAGTTCAAGCCCCAGAATTGGCAAAAAATAAAATAAAATAAAATAAATCAAGGTTAATGCTCTACCACTTCTGGTTTTCCAGCAGTTAAATGGAGATATGAGTCTCACAGACTTTCCTGCTGGGGCTGGCTTTGAATTATGATTCTCAGATCCCAGCCTCATGAGTAGCTAGGATTACAGGCGTGAGCCACCAGCACCCTGCAATAAAAATAATTTTAAAATCTAAAATAAAATAAATGATTTTCTAGGTATAAATATAATAAGAACGTTAATAAAGCTACATGAATAAAATTTTATTATAAAAACAGCATTTTGGTGATTAAAATTTATTTAATGAATCATGGTGAGGCACTCAGCATGTGTTTTGTGTCACTCATCAAAATAATGTGCAAGATATTTCTGGTTTACTGTATTTCTTTATCTCTTATCTACTTTTCTTGGTTGGATTCAGACCAGTTATAAAAGAGCCCCCTTTATTGTTGGAATTCATTAATCATATGTT